TTTGATTTGCATCTCTCTTAGAGCTAGGGATTTTGAACATTTCTTCATATATTTGTTAGCCATGTCTTCTTTGGTGACGTGTAGAATATACTTTTTATGGCAATATATGTGCGTTTATCTTAACAAAAGTTTCACAAAAACTAAAATTACATAAAAAATAATTTATGGTGGACATAGTCTTAATGTTTCTTACTATTTAATTTGATTAAAAATACTAGTTGGAACCATAACTAAATTTCAAGACCCAAATTGTGTAAAGTGTGGAAAACATTAAGTGAAAAAGCATACCAAACTTAAGCAAGGGGAAACAATAACCTGTTATTTGATACATGTAGGCAGGGAAATGCCATGAAGATGATATTATGATATTTTAGGCGCAACCATCAAAGAGCAAAGAGAAAGGATCATTAATGACTAAGACTTTTGGAGAGGTTCACCTAATTGGAGATATTAAAGATTGACAATTACACCTCTTATTTAATGGTGGAGACAAGACTGAAAACCTGGGGGTTGTGAAAAAAATTTAACTAATTTGAGATGCTCTCTTTGCTTTAAATCCTATGTTAAACTGTAAATTTAAATGTATAAAATGTATTTTCAATATTTCAGTTATAATGTAAATATATTATCTCTACAAGCTGGTTATTTTTCTCTAGCCTTCTTTCTTAAAAAAAAATTTATTATTTTTGTGTGTGTACTGTCAAATTGGATCTGACTGGTACAGGAGGATACTGCCCCTCCTTCTCCAGCAGAGCATCTAGTGGATTTGAACCATGTACCTCTGGGATTGCAGTGCAGCTTCTTGTCACTAGGCCACCAGAACTGCCTTTCCAGCTTTCTTTCTAAATGATCATTTAAGTACAGTCTTTACTGGAGACATACCTAAACAGCTCCTTCCACAGTGTGGATACAGACTAAACGTCTCAGCTTAAACAACTGTCACTAAAGAGATACAGAAACCAGTCACAAAGGAATATGGCTATTTTCCCTAAAATGAATTAGCAACCCAATCACCTAGTACTCCTTGCCATCACTTCGTATAACCAACTTGACAGCACATGGCTGAAGCAGTGGTTTCACCCCAGTTAGATCCTTTTGTAACAAATTGAAGTGTTGAATTGCTTAATAACATGATTTCAGTATGTTTGCTTGTACATTAGTATTTGTTTAGCACTTAGAACAGAAAATAAGTACTTTTAATAACAACAATTATGGAGCTGGCAAATAAACTGACAGTATTATCTTTCTGGTGAATTAAGATAGCCCATTTTAATATCAATGAAATGAGACTGAAAATGTTTTTATAACTTATAAATACTATTAACTTATAAAATTATAAAATATTTGTAAGTAACATCAAAGTACAAAATATCTGAAAAGAAATAGAATCTCATTATTTTATGCAATATGCATAAAAGTACATAGACACAAACTCAAGAAGAACAGACACTTTATTTTTAAGATAAAAGTTCTATTTTCTTGTGAGGCAGCAACAAGTGTCCAGGTACAGGGAATACATAAGTACATAATAACAATATTTATCACCACTGGGAATGCTTTTTTTTTTTAAAGGAGAGTTTTGTTAGAAAACCAAATTTTTTTAAAATTGCCTTTAAAAAGATTTACACAGCTTCAACAGAGATGAAAGATGAAGAATTTAAGAAAACATAAATATAGTTTTCAAAGGACTGTATAAACAAAATATTGTTCAGGGCTGCTCTGCTTATTAATTTAGGCAGAGTAAAACTTAAACCTTAAAGTGCAGAAGTTTAATATTCTTAACTTTATTTTGCAAATTCAGCACTTTCATTGGTCTGGTTTCAAGACATCAAAATTCCAAGCATTAAGGAGTGACTCAAATTTAGGATAGGAAAATAAATTCAGTAGTGGGAAATTTTGTTTCTCTTAACAAAAGAAATTTTGACAACCTAGTCTTAATCTTGGCCATATAGAGTTATAAATTCCATCATGCTTTATGTCTTCTCCAGTAAAATCCAGCCATTAAAAAAAAAGTAGTAATACATTTTTAAAGGCTTTTCTTATTACCAGTTATTCCACAGTTAGTGATAGCACCTTCTAAAAGGTTATTGTGACTCATGGTCATAAATACAAGATATATTTTAAACAAAATGAAGAATCTAGAACAAAAAAGAATTTTGGCATCCATGCTCACCACATTAACCAAAGAGGTAAAATGGGTATTTTAAAAACATAACTGCTCACAAAAACCATGACAAGTAATAGATCTAGTCATGATCAGGAGCAGTAAATTTAGAAAAGTTTAATCACAAGGAAAAAACTCAGGTAGAAAATAACTAAGATTGACAGGCAATAATAACCAGAGAACAGCTCCTTTTGCTGAAAGATAAATGTCATCCATTTCTTTTACAACAAAGGAATTGAATTTAAATTTCTAAAAACTTTAAATTATATTCCCATAACACTACTTTCATTCATCACCTTCTATACAGTTTTCTACAGAACAACAACATAGTAATTATGGAACGTAACTGTAGAAAACAGTATTGCGAACAGACACCTGTGAACTAAGGGTTAAATAAAACAGCAGAATGGACCTACCGTTAATATTTTTTCAAGACTGCAATAAAGCTTATATGCTTAAAAATTAGCCCTTTGGCACTGGCAGTTAGGTTGGTTTGTACCTTGTACCTTTCTTTTTCAAATCTCAGGCTCTCTTTCTCCAAACCCTGAAGGATCTGTTTGGTTGTCATATAATCAATCCATTTACTTGCAAATCCACATTTTCCTTAGACCCAAATATCAGACTAGGAGATCTGTTTTTAAGACTATTTAAATAATGAACCTTAAACTTGTTCTTCCATTTCAACTTTACTTTAGATTAAGGATAGATACAGAGGGTGTGAATTAGACAACATGCACAACAGGGCAGAAGGGAAAGTGTTTACAAAGTGGCATTCTAGTTATAAAATACCATTGTGACTAACAAGGATAGAGATAAGAGCGTAAGGCAAGGAAAAGAACATTAATTTAAATAGTTCAGGTAATCCTAAACTGAAATTTTGGGAATTTTAAAAAACTTTAACTTCCTCCTTTATACCAACTCACCTGGCCTCAGTTTTACTTTTCCTTCTGTAATTCTGATGAAGTAAATGCTTGGTGGTGAAATGGCATAATCCGAAGGTGTAATAACAGAAACAAGGTTCCAAAAAACCCCACCAACCATTAAAGTTAGACCCTAAGTGGTCTAAATTTGGCTTTAGAGGCCATCATGTAAAGTCTCAAGTAAATTTGTTTTAGACAGGAAAGGTAGCAAAAATTCACTGGTCCTTACCAACTAAAACCTGACAGATTTACTGAAAGTATTTTCATTTATCTGGCCTTACTTAGATATTTCACCATTTTAAACTTACAGGATACATTTTTAAATACTTAGATGTTTTAAAGGTGCATAAGTATAAGGTAGTCCCTTTCAGATTTATTGCTCCCACTACGTTCTCCTCAACAAGCTATGTCTGGACAAACTGATATATTAACTATTGAAGCAGTATTCCTTTTACAAGTATTTAAGATTTTATTCTGCCTATCTGTAGGAAAATTAAATTATTGCATCATAAGGTAGTATATGAAGCTCTTAGACAGATACTCATCAATGCTACTCAGTGAAACATTTTCTTTAAAAGGGAGTTGCTCCTTAATGTAATAAGGACATTTTTTTCATGTGATATTAGCAGTGATGTGTATTATGGTGAATCTAAACCCAAAATAATATGGATTTTTCAGAGGTGCCTGTTGTTTATACTCCAAAAGCTCTTCTTGTCTGTTTCCCCCATTATACAGAATGTAGTGGGGTGGGGGGAGCTAGGCAACAAATCTCAATTCCAACCACCATAAAGACAAAGCCAGTCATAAGATTCTGTGGCTACGGATCGCTATTCAGTGGATTACACTCCTTGCAAACTACAAACCCTGACCAAATCCACAAGACGACAATATCACAAAAGCAAAGGAGGGAATCCATGCACAGCCATTTTAGGATCTCTTGGGGCTATGATACAGTGATGGTTTAAGGTAGAACAACAGTATTTGTGGTAAGGAGGGACATCATGTGACACATTTTACAGAATATGAAAGGGGCTCCTTATTCCTAGCTAGCAATCAACACTGGGTAGTTTCCTTTTGGCTCATTGACATTAAATCCAAGTTCCAATCATGTGCAAGAACATATTAAAGCACTTGTCTCCAGTCTATAATTTTTCTGACCACATGGTGAAATGTATACAGGTACAGTGAAGAAAACATCAGTTTTACAAACATTTTACCCAAAGCACAAACCTCTGACATCAAAAAACATAAATCACATAATGTACGGATATTGCTTTTTACCTCTCTTTTTTAAAATATATATTGGTTCAATGCATTTACCTATCAATTCTTTTTTGGGAGAAGAACATAGTCATGAGTTTAAGATTGCTGGGAAAATGTCCATGATTAATCCCTTTGGTCCCAAAGCTGAAAACAGCTGAGAAAAGCACACATCTAGAAAGGGAAACAAGAAACAGAGGCCACCAAAGAATCTTTTGAACATCCTGTTTGCTACGTTTCGTTTCAGAAAATGTAACATTGGTATTATAAAATAGTCATTTTCATATAAAAGATGGTTCTTGCAGCATCGTTCATGTCTCCCTTCAGGAATCATGTTTGCAGGGATCAGTTGTTTATTTTTTAAGTTTAATCTGAGAACAAAAGCAATGAGATATCAGCCCTCCAAAAGTAAAGAATGAGACCTTTCTTGTTTCAGTCAGTGCTTTAAGGAAAAGCAGGCTAAGAACCGAGTGCTGGCCTTCGTGAGCTGGGCAGAGCCATCGGAAGGGCTGCTGCTTTCTTTGTGAAGCCTGTCACGTGTCACTGTGGAAAGCTGGAGCACATCACAGCCAACTGGGAGCGCTTGATGCCGTCATAGTCAAGTGATCCGAGGAGGTTCTCAGTTTCTTAGAACAATGGCCACACAGCACTAGGACTTACCCTTCTGCTTCCTCGATTGATTCTGGTGGTGGGAGTAGAGGGGCTGATGGCAGGACTGTACTTGTTCCTCGAGAGACTCGGTCTTGCTCTGTGTTTGTAGACACAGAGGCCATAGCAATAGGCTGCAGTAGAGTGGTTGTCATGCCAGTGGTGACTGTCAGGCTGTGGCCAGAGCCCTTGAGGGTAAGATCTGGTGTGGGAAGAAGTGGCTTGAGGATGCTGACGAGGCAGAAAGCAGAGCCACTTTTAGGAATAAAATTCACCTTGTTCTTGTCAGGACAGTAAAAGGCTGGGATTTCATGAAGTTGTTTAGGCCTAGACACAGAATAGATAACCCAATACTCTTAAGTCACTGAACATAATAAATACTTTTATCTTTTTTCTTAAAATTAATTATGTAATTGGAATGCAAAACTTAAGGCATGTGTCAGTCAACTGCCAAAGACCAAAGGGGAACTAGACATATGACACACAGTATGTATGCTGGAATGCTACTAAAAACATTCATCACTGCTGTATCCAGTTCTCTGGCAAGTCCCTAATGCCTTCTAGGGGCCTCAGGCTGCCACCAACAGCCACCAACCATTGTGGATCTAAGGTATGATAGCCAATGTAGATAACTTCCCAAGGCAAAACCAATCAATCAATCAATCTAGATATTTAGAGACAAAATATAACCTATTACCATGATTTAGTCTCAAAAGTTATAGCATTTTCAAGAGATTTTACACAGACACAAAAAACCCCTCAAACTCCCTGTTAACTGAGTCAAAATCAACCCTTAACTCTAGTAGGCTCTAGTAGGCTACACGAAGGTGTTTTCGCAGAAGAAGAGATTGTCCTTTTTCTCCTGCAAAGCCATGGGTGTATCAAACCACCACAGAATTGTTGCCTTTGAGTTAACAGCACAAATCCCTACTAACTAGGTCAACAGGTACAGACACAATCTACAAATTCCATCGTTGCTAAGTCCTCCATTGCATGACTAATCTTCAGTGAACAGGTCATTCCGTCCACATTCTGTTAAATATGCTTCTACCTGAAATAATTCATGAAACTAACCATGATGATTTTCTAAGCAACATAATGTCAATTTTAAATAAAAAGTTAATGGTAGTTCTTTGCCTCAAAAGTTTTATTGAAGCCAAATCCTTCCTTATGCCCAGGTGCTCCTGAAACTGGACTCAAATAGTTAAAATATTGAATTGTGCTACTCCATGAAAGGAAAGTATCTGAAAATTAAATTGTTAAAAAGTGGCCTGGTTGTCACAGTGTTCCACGCCACAGCAAACTGTAGTCCTGAACCATTGCCTGGCCTCTCTGCTCATAGGCTGCAGGCACTGAGGCAGGTTGTACCATGGGGGGAAAAAAATGAGGGGGGAAAAAACCTCATAGCCTGGAAGTTCCATTAAATCCCCCCCAAAAAATAATAAGGCAAGAAAAGTTAAATCAGAACTCAGACAGACATAGTCTTAAGAGCATATGATAAAAGTACTGTTCTCAGCCATCCCTCTAAGTCAATTCAGTAAAAATGTGACTGAGCCAAGTCTCCATTAAATTGCAAGGGCACAAATGTGAAATAAGAATGCTCCCCCCCCCAAAAAAAAAGAATGCTCCCCTGAGTTCATAATCTGCATGGGAGAAATGGACTAAATTTGTAGTTCCTGGGAAGAGGGGACAACTGTGAAAAAAAAAATTTCCCCCAATATAATTTGTCTCCTTTGCAATTTTATGTTTTATATACCTTTCAAAATACTATTCTGAAAAGGGATCCATAAACTTCAGAGTATCAAATGAGTCCACAGCACAGAACAATTTAGTACCTCTACAACAGGTACTAATAGATAGGATAAAAAGTTTAGAGGCAGCAAAACAAGAGTGTGGGGTGAGTAGCAAGGAGGAAGAGGGCAAGTCTGAAAGGAAGAGGAAAAACAAGACTTCATAAAGGAAAGTATATCTCAACTGGAATGACAAGAATGAGTAAGAACAAACACCTATGGAGGGTGGAAAAGTGTGTACTAAACAGACAATGCTTCAGGAGGCCTAATTTTATTAATAATGACTACTACCCAGAAGTGTAGAGGAAGGATGGGCCATCTCCTCTCGTGTGCAGGAACCTCCTGCAGGGTTAGCTATGGGTCAGTTCTGACTTGATGGTACACAATGACACCAGCCCACAGATACACTAGTTTTGAGAAATTTAACACAGTATATTTAAAAACAAAGAAAGATTAGATTATGTTTTACTTATGGCCCTCTTCTTTCTTGATTATTATGGAAACTCAGCTGAGTACTTTTATATTTAGATATGTATGTTGTTGTATACCATCAAGTTAGAACCAATCAAGAACTGATCCTCCAGTGGATTTTCAGAGACAGTAATCTGCACAGTAGGAGACTGCTTATCCTTCTGTGGAGTAACTGGTGATTCAAATCTTTAGGACTGTAGCATACAGTCCTGGCTGAAAGCAAAGAATACTAGAAGGATGTCTCTTTGTATTTTATTGACTATGAAAGGGCATTTGACTACATGGATCATAAATTATGGCTAACATGGAGAAGAATGGGAATCGCAGGACACTTAACTATGCTCATGTGAAACTTACACATACACTAAAAAGCTGTCATATGAACACAGCAAGGAAACATGGCATGGTTTAAAAATCAAGAAAGGTATGTGTCAGGGTATTACCCTTTCTCTGTGCCAATTCCTTTTGTATGCCTAGCAAATAATTTGCGAGTCTGGACTTTTTGAAGAAGAATGTGGCATCAGGATCAGAGGAAGACTCATCAACAACCTGAGTTATGAAGAAGCCAGAGCCTTGCTTGCTGAAAGTGAAGAGGACTTGAAAAGCTTGCTGCAGAAGATCAAAGACTACCGTCTTCAATATTGATCACATCTCAACATCAAGAACACAAAAATCCTCACTACTGGACCCCAGGCAACATCGTAATCGATGGCGAGAAATTGTCCAATATGTCATGGCTTGAGTGCATGGAAAACGATGTCCATTTAATAACCTTGCCATCAGCAGTCAAGAAATGAATGGATAGAGAAGCTATGGTATATTCACACAATGGAATATGACACTGCTTTAGAAAACAAAGAACTCATGGAATATTATACAAAATGGGTGACCCTGGAGGATATTATGCTGACTGAATTATCTCAGTCACAAAAGGACAAATACAAAGATGGAATTCTCCCACACTCATTCTATGAAGCAAACATATCCTTGATACCAAAAGCCAGGAAAGGACACCACCCAAATAGAAAACTATAGGCCAATATTGCTTATGAACATAGATGCAAAAATCCTGAATAATATAAAATCTTGGCTGATAGAATCCAACGGTACATCAAAAAAATAAATAATTCACCATGACCAAGTGGGATTCATAACAGGTATGCACGGATGGCTCAACATAAAGAAAACAATTAATGTAATTCATCATATAAACAAAGCAAAGAACAAGAACCACATGATCCTATCAATTGATTCAGAAAAGGCCTTTGACAAAATCCAACACCCTTTCCTGATTAAAACACTCAACAAAATAGGATTACAGGGGAATTTCTTCAACATAGAAAAAGTATATATGCATACCCAAAAGTCAACATTGTTCTCAATGAAGAGGGATTAAAGACATTGCTTTAAAAACAGGAAATATGCAAGGATGCCCACTAACACCTCTTATTCAATATTGTATTGGAAGTCTTAGCAATAGCAGTAAGACAAGAGAAGGAAACAAAAGGTATCCAAATAGGCAAGCAGTAAGTAAAATTATCTCTCTATGCAAATGATATGATAATATACTTAGCAAACCCTAAAGACTCAGCAAGAAAACTACTGGACAGTCGGCCAATTCAGCAAAGTGGCAGGATACAAGATCTACATACAAAAAAATCAGTTGGATTTCTCTACAGTGACAAAGAGAATAGAGAGCTGGAACTAAGAAAAACAATGCCCACCACAATAGCTAATCACAAGATTAAATACTTGGGAGTAAATCTAACTAGAAGCACTAAGGATCTATTCAAAGAAAATTACAAAACATTACTACAAGAAATAAAAAGAGTCCTGGAAAAATGAAGAATATTCCATGCTCATGGATAGGAAGACTCAATATTGTGAAAAAAGACAATACTACCAAAGGCAATTTCCACGTTCAGTGTAATCCCAATACAAATCAAAAAGCGTATCGTGATGGGAAAGTCTGCTGTTAGGGACCTCTCTAAGGTACTCAGGAGCAACAGTGTCTCTCTGGAGAC